GGCACGCGTGCGCCGTCTGGCCTCTCCGTATGCTGTTTTGGGGGCCTTTTCTGGGCCGTCTTGGGGCTCTCTTGGGGTTCTCTCGGGCCAGTTTGGGGGTCTCTTGGACCGTCCTGGGGTCTCTGTGGGTCATGTAGGGGCCCTTTTGGGCAGTCTTTGGCTCCTTTCGGGGCCTCTGGGCCCGTTTGGGGGCCAACTTGGAGGCTGCTTGGACCGTCATGGGCCTCTGAAAGTCGAAAGGGAAGAGAACGATAAGATCTATAACGAAAATCAATGTTTTTGATCTTTGGAGGCGCCCTTGGGGGTGCTCTTGGGGCCCTGTTGGTCCGTCTTGGAAGCTTTGGGGGCCCTCTTGGGGCCATGGCCATCTTCGACTGTCTTGGGGCCGTTTTGGCACGCACCGAGGCCATATTGAACCGTCCTAACGGCTCCTTGGACCACCAAGAGACCCCAGGGGCCCAAATCATATATGTTTTTTAGGTGTTCGTAGGTCTGGGGTCCCAGATAGGGTCCTCCACGTGGTCTCGGGGAGAGGGGTAGGGAGCGGGGCTACATTATATTGTAACACCATACAATATGTAGCACTTACGCAATAATTGCATACATTAGACACGTTGCAGTGAGGCGTTCGTCGCCGAAAAATGCTGACGCTCATCACGTCACCTCCAGACGTGGATTCTACAGGCTTACGCCACATGCGCCGACTCCTTTGATTTTATGGGGTGGCTTAATCGAAGACGCATACGGCGAATCACCGCCGCCCCCTGCCTTCTGGAATCGCCCATGCGGCCGAGCGTTGTGGCAAGAGTTCTGCCAAGCTATCGGACCATGCGTCCCCCGAACCGTTGTGGAAACCCATCGGACTTGGGGGAGGATGGCGGGGAAGATCAGGAGGAGGAGGAGGAGGAGGAGGAGGGGGCATCTTGGGAGCCTCTGAGGACACTCGTGGGGCCTTCTGGGAGCTTCCTGGGGGCCTCTTAAAGGCATCTTGGGGACCTCCTTGGGCCTCTTGGGGGCCTGTGGGGGGCTTCTCGGTGGCCTCTTTGGCCGTCTTGGTGGGCTCCTGGCCCGTCTGACGCCGTCGGAAGCAGTCTGTGGGGCCTCTCTGGGCCGACTTGGGGCCCTCTTGGGGTGCTCCAGGGCAGTCTTGGAGGGTTTCTTGGGCCGTTTGGGGGCCCTCTTAGGGACGTCTTGGGGTCCTGTTGGGCCGTTCTGGTGCCATCTGGGAGGCCTCTTGGGCGATCTTGGGGCGATCTTTGGGTGCTCGTTGGCCGTATCGGGCTGTCGGCTGGCCGAACAGAAGCAAATGCCCAAATCTTGCAAACACCAAAACGGAAAACCAATGTATGTGCCAATTCGAGCTTTTCTAGAGGACCTTTTGGAAGCATCTTGGGCCGTCTTGGAAGCCTTTTAGGCCGTCTCGGGCCATCTTGAGGCTATCTTAGACCGTCTTGGCTGCATCTTGGGCCGTCTTGGAGGCATCTTGGGGCCATCTTGGCAGTCTTGGACGGCATCTTGGCCGTCTTGGAGGCATCTTGGGGGCCATCTTGGGCCATCGTGGCCGTCTTGGGGGATTTGGTTTTGGCAAATTGGGCGCATTCCAGGTGGTTGGCGAAACGAACCGAAGCCCCATGGGAGAGTTCTTTTGGAAAAACAACCAACACCAAAAACGGTAGCGTCTAGCACGGCGGGCACCCCTGTGGCGAGACCACAGGAGGCGGCGGATCGAAGATGCCTTCGGCGAATCACCGCCGCCCCATGCCTTCTAGAATCGCCCATGTGACCGAGCGTTGTGGCAAGAGCTCTGCCAAACTATCGGACCATGTGGTCCCCCAGCCGTTGTGGAAACCCACGGGGAGCACTTGGGGGAGGATGGCGGGGAATATCAGGAGGAGGAGGAGGTGGAGAAGGAGGAGGATGAGGAGGAGGAGGAGGAGGTGGAGGATGGGGAGCAGGAGGAGGAGGAGGAGGAGGAAGGAGGAGGAGGAGGAGAGGAGGAGGGAGGAGGGGGAGGAGGGGAGGGGAGGGGGAGGGGGAGGGGAGGAGGAGGAGGAGGAGGAGGAGGAGGAGGAGGAGGAGAGGAGGAGGAGGAGGAGGAGGAGGAGAGGAGGAGGAGGAGGAGGAGGAGGTGGAGGAGGAGGAGGAGGAGGGAGGAGGAGGGGGAGGAGAGGAGAGGAGGAGGAGGAGGGAGAGGAGGAGGGAGGAGGAGGAGGAGGAGGAGGAGAGGAGGAAGAGGAGGAGGAGGAGGAGGAGGGAGGAGGAGGAGGAGGGGGGGGCATCTTGGGAGCCTTTGGGGGCACTCTTGGGGCCTGCATCTTGGGGGCCCTCTGAAAGGCCTCGTGGGGGCGTCTCGGGGGCCTCTTTGGCCGTCTCGGTGGGCTCCTGGCCCGTCTGACACCGTCGGAAGCCGTCGTGGGGGCCTCTCTGGCCAGACCTGGGGCCCTCTTGGCATGCTCCAGGGCCGGGCCGTCTTGGAGACAATGTTAGGGGCCTCGTGGGCCGTTCTGGCGCCATCATCGAGGCCTCTTGGGCGATCTTGGGGCGATCTTTGGGGGCTCCTGGGTCGTCTCGGGCCGTCGGTAGGCCGAAAAGAAGCAAATGCCAAAATCCTTCAAAATCCAATGAACAATCAATGAATTATACCTCTTGGGAGGCATCTTGGAGGCGTCTTGGGGGCATCTCAGGCCGTCTGGAGGCCATGTGGAACGATCTTTTGGCGACCCGGGGCCCTCTTGGACAGTCTTGGGCCCTCGATCCCCCCATGGCGCGTTCGTCCCGGGCCAGGGGGGGGTCAAGTTGCCGGTGTGGGGTCCTTGGGGGGGGGGGAGTACGGGGGGAACAGTCTCACACGCTTGGAGACCCACAATGGGCCATCGGATTTACAAGGATGGTCCAGGGCGGCACCTTTTCGAAACATGGGTCCCGCCAGCATGGCACGCCCTATGGTATGGGGCCCTCGTTCTTGAAGGGAGACCTCCCCGTAGCGCTAAAGAGCACCAAGAAGGGATTTCGGACGTGAGCGTGCGCTGCAGCATCGTTGACTCTCTTCATGAGTTTACTCGTCGGTCGTTGAAATTTGGTACTTTCGGCCCCCCAGATCCCAATCTATTCATCGCGCCTTCTTATTTCAAGAATCGATATGCTTTTGCTATGTGTTGTTACTTTCTGAGAGAACTGAACCCGATATGATTTACCCGCCTTCCTATTTCATGTCTTTACTTCCTTCTTCCTCCTCAGCATCATCATCATGTTGTGCCCCCCGCACCTGTCCCCGACTCCCGCACTCGCTCCGTTCTCCCTTCCTCCACTGTCGTGCGTATCCACCTGAGCGAAGAGACCGACTACGCAGGTGAGGCCTCCAGGAAGCGTTGTGCATTCTTGCGTACTCTCGCATGCATGATGAACCATGCTCTCAAGGCTGCACCCATCTGGCCCGCCCGCCTCCATCTGCCGCGACCGCCTCGGCATCCAAGCTGCCGCCCAGCATGCCCTCGAGGCCTGAGCTGAGCACGGAGCTGCCCAAAGCTATGTGAGATCCTCCTGTCCCCTCCATCCTCCTCCCCCAGGGGTGCTGCCAATGGCCAGGGCCGTCCCCAGCGGAGGGAAAACAGAACCACTGCGTCGTACCACCTCTGCCTGCGTGCCCTGAGGGGAGATGCAGGCAGGGTCGGGCGGGAGAGGCAGACGGGGGAGTGGGACGCCAGGGGGCGTGGGACTTGACATCGCTCGGACGTGTGCATTGTTTCTCGGCGGGGACCATCTAGGAGCATCTTGGATCGTCGCGCAAAAAAACATGCACGCACGAAGTCGAGAGATGCACGGGGGAATGGACGTCCGAGCGATAGCAAGGGGAGGATGGAGATCTGCTAGTTATTTCGGGACATCTCTGGAGACCTCCAGAAGCTTCCCGAGGCCTCCCGATGCCTCCAGCTCTGGTTGACCCGAGAGGGGGGCCAGCGAAAAGAGGGTGGTGCAATAGGTCTGGCGCAGTAGATTTGTGGGGTTGTAATAGATTTGGGGCGTGCAGTGCATTCTGATGCGAAGATGTATTATCGGCTCTGCGTGCAATGTACTAAATACTTGCAATACAATCCAATACCAATATCTGGCGCAATACATGTGCAATGCAATTGCCCCAAACCTATTGCACCATCCCCTTTCAGCTGGACCTCTTTTTGGGTCAACCAAACCAGCGACATCGGGGGATTTCCAGAGAGCACTTCATTCGGGGGATGAGGGGGCAGGAGGTTCGCAAGCTCCGCAGGAGCGGATTATCACATCGATTCTGGGTTGCTGCTGGAGTATCTGAATCATTCTGGGTATCTCGGTCGGGGCTAGGACGAGGAGAAATCCGTTCCAGAGCGTTCCAAAACGCTCTCAGAGAGTTCCGGATCGCTCTGAGAAGGCCGTGGCGCCCGATACACTCCCTCCAGAGCCGCCGGATCTCCGAGATTCTCGATTTATCTTGACCCGATGTTATCCTCGTCCTGGCTTCGTCTTAGTATCCGTCGATTTCGTCTCGACCACCGTTCCTGCACGCGTCATGTGAACCTCATCTGCCACAGACGGGACTGCCATGGGACGGCGTTCACGCAGCGTTGCTCCGACGTAAGTCCGACGTGGATTTGGCGCAAATCTGTTCTCAAGTTGCCGCGCGAGGCCTCCAGGATTTCCTCACAGAGCCGCGTGTGGCATGACTATGGCTCTGAGGCTGCAGTTCCTGGCTCTGACGCTGCACTTCCTGCTGTCCCCGTGGCCCTCGCACGCGCAAGAGGGGCACGGGAGAGGCGCGGGCTGGTCGCCTCTCTTCACACAGAGGATCGAAGATCGAGGGTCGGGGACTCGGGATCGAGGATCGGTGATCGGGAATCGAGGATCGATACTCGAGGACCGGGGAGGGGGGATCGAGAATCGAGCATCGAGGATTGAGGATGCCTCGTGCAGCGGGCAGTGCCTCCGAGCGCGCCCGCCGCTCGGAGAGCCCGGCCCGGCCCGCGGAGGGGGCCCGCCAGATCTGCGACGAGGACTTCAAGCAGAGGCGCCCCGTCCGCCCTCGGGGACGCGGCAGGCAGCCCGGCCCGGCCTCCGGGGGAGGCCCGGGCCCTGGGCCTCCCGGAGGGGGGCCGAGTGCGGTCGGGGCGCTGAAGGAGGAAGCCCCGTCCTTGGGGAGGGGCGCGGTGTGTTCCTTGATTGTGTCACAGTTCGCCTCCGGTTTCTTCCCCCGGCTCTGGAAGGCAAGGCGAAGTGCAGCCTGGGGGAGAACTTAAGGGGGCCTCGTTCCTCGAGCAGGGTTGCTCCGGTCAACGCCCAGGCTGCAGCGGGCGAGGCGCCGCCTCCCCGCCTCGCCTCGGAGGGTGCCGAGCCCGTGCGGGCGTGCGGTCCCCGCGCCCACCAACAGGGGCGCGCAGCTGCATCTCCAGGGCGCGCTCGTGCCCAGCCAGGCCTCCCAGATGGAGGAGGAGCAGATGGAGGAGGAGGAGGAGGAGGAGGAGGAGGAGAGGAGGAGGAGGAGGAGGAGGCGGAGGAGGGAGGAGGAGGAGGAGGAGGAGGAGGGGGAGGGGGAGGGGGAGGAGGAGGAGGAGGAGGAGGAGGGAGGAGGAGGAGGAGGAGGAGGAGGAGGAGGAGGAGGAGGAGGAGGAGGAGGAGAGGAGGAGGAGGAGGAGGAGGAGGAGGAGGAGGAGGAGGGGAGGAGGAGGAGGAGGAGGAGGAGGAGGAGGAGGAGGAGGAGGAGGAGGAGGGGAGGGGGAGGGGGAGGGGGAGGGGGAGCATCCAGGCCTCCCAGATGGGGCGGACCAGACGGGGTCCGAGGATCGCGCCGCATTACCGATGTATTGGCAATGCGGCTCGATGCGCGATGCAGAGACCGATTTTCCCCTCGCCGACGTCGCCCATGCATCGGTGACGCATCTCCCATGTGTGGCGCGACCCTTCGACGCCATCTGGGAGGCGTCTAATGACTCTGGGCCCTCCCCAGGACGCCAGTACCTCAGGGTCCGCTGGTCCAAGCAGATGTGACGCCAGGATATCGGGGTCCTCTGGGCCGCCCAGGGGGCCCTGAATTCCTGGCGTCACAAGTGTGTCGCAGCGGGCGATTCTGCCATGTTTCGGGCTCCAAGACCCTCACGGATCGATCGGGTTCGTAAAACGCAGCAGAAAGAATGGATTTTGAGCTCCCGTGGTTATTTTCGCGATTCCGCATTTTCCTTGCAACACCAGATCTCAGGGGAGAAGGAGGAGAGGAGGAGGAGGAGGAGGAGGAGGAGGAGGAGGAGGAGGAGGAGGATGTGCAGGCCTGCACGCACTTCGGCGAAGAGATTTTACGTCCCTCGGAGCGGTGGGCGTGAGGGCTGGGCTGGGAGTTCGCAGGGATGACAGGGGCGGGCGACTGCGTGGGCCTACAAGTCAGCCTAAATAGTTAGCGCTCGCCCGCGAGCGTCTTTTGGCATCTTCCTGCGCCAGAACAGGCATTGTTATCCACTTCCTCCATTGAGCATGCATCGATTTGTCTGTCTGTTGGCTTACCATCCGCAGCCTCCGGGAGCCTGTGGAGCGTTTCGGCCCACCTCGCGTTCGTCGGACCTCTCGTTTCTGCGTTTTCTTTGTCGGCCGTTGGCGCAAAAAAGAAAACAACAAGAGAAGGAGGAGGAGGAGGAGGAGGAGGAGGAGGATCCTACTGAGGTGAGTCTCGTGACACCTGGCGGGCGCCTACTCTCACTCACAATCTCCTCCTGTGCTCGTGCTGCCACATCTTCCGCGGCGTCCGCCAGGCTTTCCGACCCGCCAGGGAGGGCCGCGTGGGGGCACTCGGCCCCCCACGCTCGCGCCGGGGCGCCGCGCCCGGCCGCGCGCGCGCCCTCGAGAGGCGGGCCTCGGCGCGCCAGCCGCGGTCGGCGGCGCGCGTGCCACGACGAGGTGAGCATCCGGGAGAGGTTGGGCGTCCACTTGCGGGTGAGCATTTCAGAGAAGGGGATGACCCACCAGCTGCTGAATTTCAAGCCAGACGTATACAACGTCAGCTGAGGGCTACGAGACCGGCACACTTCAGTGCAGAGTCTGCACTGGAGTGTGCCGGTCCGCTGAAGTGTGAGTCAGCATCGGCGGCTTCAGTTGAGCCTCTCCGCTGAAGCCGCGAGCCGAGTGGAGTTCCTTACGTTTGGGTTTTTCTGGTTGAGCCTCCAAACCCATGTCTTACCAGTGCAGACCCACCGGCAAGTTTGCCGAGACTATACACGCAGCTACACGCATTGACAAGTACGAGCGGGTGCAGCTTTCAAGAGCACGGGCAACCTCGTCCTACACGGGCTACAACCACACCTCAACGACATCATGTCCATCGCTACGACCGCCTTGGTGATGGCGTCCACCACAGAATGGGGCGAGCTGCGTAACATGCAGTTCAAAGACGAGCTGCGTAGCAGGCAGCCCAGGTACGAGAAGCTCTACCAGTACGACACCAAGCGCGTCGCCAATATTGACGGCGAGTGCGACATCAAGAGCAGTGGCTTGAACCCAGACGCGATCATCTTCAAGCCGAGACGAGGCAGCACTGGGGCGACCTGGCGTTTCCTGTTTCAGATACTGGAGCTCAGCGGCCCCCAGAGCAGATACGACTACCAGCGATTCGACGACCACCAGGACTGCGATTTCAACCAAAACTGCCAGGACTCCAACTCCCTGTGCAACCGCGCAGCCGGGGGCCATTGGTACAAATCCAGGAAAGCCCAGGAGGCCAAGAAGGCAGGGAGGCCCAGGAGGCCCACGAGGACAGGAGGGCTCAGGTGGCCATTGCAGAGCTACGAGCTACAACAACTATTTTCCAAACTTCCAAGGCAACGCACAGAGCCTCGAGAGCCACCGGTCACCAGCGCAGCTTCAAGAGCCACCAGCTGAGTTACGGGGGCCACGAGCCGTGTTACGACTGCTGCGCGCAGAGCTACAAGTGCCACCGGCTGGGTTACCAGGGCCACCTGCCGAGCCACGAGAAACACCAGCTGAGCTACGAGGACCACCAGAGTACCACCAGCTGTGCTACGAGGACCACCTCCAGAGTTATGAGAGCCACCCGCTGAGCTACCAACACCCCCAGCTCAACTACCAGAACCACCAGCAGGACGCCGAGGGGCAGCTGACCTTCGAGGTCGGCAAGCTGGGCAACGAGGGCCACCAGCCGAGCTACGAGGGCCACCAGCCGAGCTACGGAGACCAAAAGCTGAGCTACGTGGAGCACGTGCAGAGCAACAAGGGCCTCCAGCAAAGCTACCAGCGCCACCAGCTGAATTACAATGAACCCCAGACAGCTACGAGAGCCACCAGCTGAACTACGGGGGCAACAAGCCGAGCCACGAGGGCCGCGATCAGGATTCCGAGCGCCACCAGCGGAGCTACAGAGACCACAAGCTGAGCTACATGGAGCGCGTGCAGAGCAACGAGGACCTCCAGCGAGCAGGGCCTCTAGAACCCCCGACAGCTACGAGAGCCACCAGCTGAACTACGGGGCCAACAAGCCGAGCCACGAGGACCGCGATCAGGACTCCGAGCGCCACCAGCTGAGCTAGGGGGACCACACGCTGAGCTACGATCGCCGCGCGCAGAGCTACGAGCGCCACCAGTTGAGGTACTGGGACCACCTGCCGAGCCACGAGAAACACCAGTTCAGTTACGAGGACAACCTGCTGAGCTATGAAGGCCAGAAGCAATGCTACTATAGCCACCAGCGCGGCGACCAACGCCACCAGCTGAGATTCCAGAACCACCTGCAGGGCTGCGAGGGCCATAAGCAGAGCTTCGATGTCGGGAAGCCGAGCTACGAGGACCACTGGCCGGGTTACGAGGACCACCAGCTGGACTACGAGGGCCACCAGCTAGGCTACAAAGGCCACAAGCTGAGTTACGCGGGACACGAGCTGAGCAGCAGAGGCCTCCAGCGGAGCTGCTAGCGTCATCCGCTGAACTGCAAGGTACACGAGGAGCTCCCGACACAGCTACGAGGACCACCGGCCGGACTTTACAGGGGCAACAAGCCGAGCTACGAGGGCCGCGGGCAAGGTTCCGAGAGCCACTTCCGCGGGCAACAAGCCCCACGACACAATAGTGCCCATGGACACGAGCGCAGGCCGCCACTACGAGGATGGGGACACAATGTTCACGCGCTGGGCCCTTCAGGATCCATTAAAGCGTTCTCGTCCGCCCGCGACCACTAAGAAGCGCACCAGAACCGTATACCTTTGAGCCAGCGACCCACGCCTACGCTACTAACAAGGTACTACGTCTACGGTATGTACCGCATCTACGATTGGAAGGCCCCGCCGCTCCACCTACCTGCCCCGGCCCCAGCCGCGCCCGCGCGCGTCGGGCGCGAGGCGCGCCCTGTTAGTGACGCGCCCAGCGGCTGCGGAGAGATGGGAGGAGGAGGAGGAGGAGGAGGAGGAGGAGGAGGAGGAGGGGAAGCAGGGGGAGGAGGAGAAGGAGGAGGAGGAAAACGGGGAGAAAGCAGGGGAGGAAAAGGAGGAAAAGGAGGAGGAGGAAGAGAAGCGCAAACGCGGCGATCCTAACGGATCAACGTTGGAGCATTCCAAACCGGAATCTGTTCTTCTGTTTATGCATTCAGTCGTCTTGTCGTGAACAAATATCAGGTGGTGGCAGCAGCGTTGCCTAAGTTCCCAAGTGGGCCGAGAACTTCACGTATCATGTTCTTCGCTGGTGCCACAGCATCAAGGTGGCCCCGCCCCCACGCTGAAAAGGAAGCGGAGGAGGAGGAGGAGGAGGAGGAGGAGGAGGAGGAGAGGATGAGGAGAGGAAGAGGACGAGGACGAGAAGGTTGAGAAGGAGGAACAGCAGAAGGAGGATGAGGAAGGGAGGAGGCGAGGTGGAGGCCTGCGCGGAGGCTGAAGGGGTCGGGTCGGGGCGGGCGGGGCCGAGCCCTGGGCCAGCGGGGTGAGCGAGCCTCGCCGCGAAGGGCCTCGGCTCCTCCGCCGCGCCCCTTTCCTCCGGCGGGTGTCACAGGGAGGTCCTCGGCGAGGCGCGCCTGTTGGGGCGGCTCCCCGGGCTCCCAGCAGCGCCTCCGCCCTCGGGGTCCAGGCGTTGCACCCGCTGCGGCTCGCCCCGAGCGTGCTCGCCCGGCCTCGGGCCCGGGCGCCCCCGCGGATCGGCCCGGCCGGAGAACGCCGCGGGAAGATGCGGTCGAGGGATCCAGCGTCAGGTTTCCACGATGCCGCGCTTCGAGCAGGAGGTCGATTGCAGAATTGCGCGACCCCATGCTTGAAGTGTTCTTCGAATCTACAGCAAGTGCACCATGGTCTCGGACACCTGAAGATGACGTGCATCTTTCGCAGATTCGACGACAAATTCAATTTGGGGGTGAATCCATTCTGTAACGTCGATCTCCCGCTGTATCATAATTCCGTGGCATCGGGTCTCGGGCTCGTTCTCCTCCTGGCAGCCTGCCCCCCTCGGCCGGGCGAAGAGCCGCGGAAAGCACCCGTGGGCGCGCCGATGTGCGAACCGACTCCCACTGTGCCCGAGCCCGTTGCTGCCTTGCGCTGAGTTCAGGGGCGGCAATCGGAGGGGATAAGGCATAGGAGAGGATGCATCGACCCCCAATCGCCCATTGATCGCCGATGGGTGCCCGATGGCCCCAATCTGCCCAGGATCGTGTTGATTCACTATCGGAGGCCAATCGCCGATCTATCGGCAACGTATCGCCGATTCCAGGTCGATGTTTCCCTCCCTTTGCAAGTTCAGGAGGGAATGAAACACACAGACACAATTAATCGTCGAGTCCCAGGAAACTATGGGAACATATGGGAAGTGGGGGGGAAGACAGAAACCACGAAAATATTAAGAAATACAGGGGTTCCTGTTTGTGTGGGTTTGTGGGCCCCTTCAAAAGTGCCCCTCCTATCGTCGCCCTTCATGAGTCGGCCCTGTCTCTCTCGCCAGGTCTGCCCACCCAGCCCCCTCACAGTCAAACCGCATCAGAAGGCCAAAGAATGTACCAAGGATGCCCTTACATCCTTACCTCTCGGCCCATCCTAGCCCTTAGCCGTGGGCCTTAGGCCTCCAGCTTCAGCTTCCATGTGGGTGCCCAAGCGCCCGGCATCTTTCCCGTCGCGCCGCACCTCGAGCCCGCCGCCGATCAACCGCAACACAGACCTCTGGCATCTCGACCAATATCGAGGCCGATGTCTCTCGCTGTGCCTCTGCGTACCTCCGCAGGGAGGCCTTCGGGCCCAGGGACGTCGAGAACACGCCAAGACTCTGTCACCGGGATGGGGTCGAGAGGCCCGGTGGCCACGCTCCGAGAGCCCCGGCCTCGGAGCTTTGGGCCGTCCAGCGCCCTGCTCCCGAGCTCGCTCCGCCCCCGCCGCGCCTCCCACCGGCCCCAGCGGAGGTACGCAGGCAGTGCCACTGGCACGCTGTACGGCAAGGGGACGTATCCACAGCGCCTGGCGGCACCGCGTCTGAGCAGGCTGAGGGTTTCGCGGAGTGGCCGCAGTTCTTTTGGGCTCTCGTGGACAGGCGAGGGGCCGCACTGAGATCGTCCCAGGCCCGCTGGGCTCCCTGGGGCGCTCGAAAACGTCTTCTGCCCGTCACAGCTGCTTGGTAAGGACAGCGCCCTCCGCCGCTTCCCCCTGCCCCCGAGGCAGCGCCATTTTTGGGGCGGCTGTTGTTTTGCGTAATTCGGGCTTGGCGCAGTCGGCCTAGGCCAGAAGAGCATCCCTCAAGAACATGAGACCCTCCGTCGGCCAGAACAAACATAACATTTATGATCACCCTTCCAAGGATGCACAAGAGCATCCCACAAACTCGAAGAACACTAGGGTGCCCTCCCCGAGCCGACCTCGATCTCCTACCTCGGTGCGACCGTATTTGAAATCCTCCGGGAGCCTGGTTGCGTCATCTTGGGGCATCTCTTGAGCCATCTTTGGGCTTCCGGCCTCCTGCGGGCTGCCTGGGTATCGGGGGCCTCGCAGGGTCACCGTGGGGCCACCTCGAGCAGTACTGGGGCCATCCTGGTGCTCACTGCAAGTTCTGCCACCGTGCCGGCGCCGCATTCCGTGGGGCGACTTCGGGATGGACGCCCCGATGGCCAGCATGTGGCAACGTCCGGGGGGCTCGGCCTCACAGGAGCCTGCCCGGGGGGCTCTCCGCGAGCCTCTCCGCGAGCCTCTCCGGGCCTCTTTGGGCCAGCTGGCCCTGCTAGACTCAGGAGGGGAAAAAACACACAGACACAATGAATCGGCGATTCCCCAGAAAATATGGGAAAATATGGGAATTGGGCGGGAAGACAAAAACCAAGAAAATATGGGAAAATATGGGGACTATTTTTATTTGTGTGTATTTATTTGTGTGTCCTAATTTCCCTTTATAGACTCTTCCTGGGGGGCTTTATCGGCCGCCCGGTGGCGTCCGCGCGGGAATCCCCCGTGTGGCGGCCAGGGGGCTCGGGTCACCACCCCTGGGCTGCTGCGCTTGGCGCCGTGGGCTCCCGAGTGGACAGCCAGGAGGAAGGCAGGGCGGGCAAGAGAGAGGGGCACGGAGGCTGCCTCCCGCCGCCTCCTTCTCTTCTCCCTCCGTGTCCTCCTGCCCTCCCGTCGGCGGTGAGCGAGGGGCGGAAGTGAGGAGGAGAAGCGGCGGGGCTTCTCAGAAGCAGTCCTGTCCTCCTTCCCTCCCGTCGGCGGCGAGCGGGGGGGATACAGTCGGGGCCCTGAAGAAGGAACACTTTTCGTCGGGGAGGGGCTCCGCGTTCCTTGAGTGTTTCGCAGCTTGCCTCAGGGTTTCCTAGTGTTTGCGATGGGAAATCGAAGGTTAACTTGTGGAAAGAAGGGGCCTCGTTCCTTATTTAGGGTTCCTTAGGTCAAGGCCCCGACTGTAGTGAGAAGGAGAAGGCCTTCTCAGAAGGCGGCGGGACTTCTCAGAAGCCCCCGCGCCTCCTGAGATTTGTTTCGTCGTCGGGGAAGGCTTAGTTAAGACTTCTCAGGAGGCCGGGGAGCTTCCGAGCCTTCCGAGAAGTCCTGCTCCTCCTCGCTTCCCCCCCCTCGCTCGCCGCCGACCCTGGGCTGGTGCCCTGCGTGGTGGAGCCCCCCTCGCCCCCGGGGGGGGAGGCTGGCGCCCCTCACCGCCCAGGGGCCCCGCGCCCCCGGGGAGTGCCACCGACGGGGCCCGCGTCCGCGGAGGGCCCCAGGGGGCTCCCCCCGCGCGGACCCGGCTGGGCCGCGCCCGTGCTCCGGCCCCTCGAGCCCGGACCTTCCAGGAGGGCTAAAAAATAGCACCAGGACGTCGACGTCCTAATTCCTGTCGAGGCTTGAGGCAGCCCAGGTAGATCTATGGGTCTGGAGTGCTATTTTTCAGCGCTCTGGAAGGTCAGGGAGCGAGTCACCTGCACGGCAGCAGCCGGGCACGGAGCGGCCGCCGCGGCGCGGTGCCCCCAGAAGGGGGGCCCGGCGGGCTTCGCCGAGAGCGTCACGAAGGCCGACGAGTACGCCAAGGAGGCGAAAGGCGGCCGCTTTTGTCGGTGTTTTTGCCCCGGGAGGCGGCCTCGAGCCGATCACTTCCCTTCCCCTGGCGCGCTTCACGCCATCACGCATGCAATGCTGCGCAGACCCTGTTGAAAAACGGACAGAGGGGCTCCAGTGGAGACATCGCCCGATCTGCATCATCTTCGACGTGTTGGGGTCGGCATGATGCGGAAGCGGGCACTGTTTCAGCCAGGTGCAGTATGAGGCGTTCTAGAAACAGCCTCGCCTTCGAGGGTCCAAGGAGTTGCAAGCTCGTCCTCGGCGGAAGTGCGGCGGAAGCTGGTGGAAGTAAAGCGAGGAAGCTTCCGCCAGCGGAAGGCATGCGGAAGTAAAAAGTTGGTCACTAAGAGATGACCACATATTGAGGGTCACGTTTTTTTCGGAACCCTCCACATGTTGGGGTCAGCACTAATGTCGATGATCCTCGGGACGTTCGTTAGCCCCATGTGTGATTACCACCTCCTGCTCCGTCGATGGCACGCACCCCCTGTTGGCCCTCATGAACTGCGCAGCCTGCGTCGCACTGGAGGACTCTGGTGGACAAAGACACCTTGGCGCTGACACAGGTCCTGAGGATCATCGACAAGGGGAATCGATCGTTTTTCAGCCAGGTGCCACATGGGCGCCGGCGAACAGTGCGGACCGATCCCGGTCGTCGTCAGGATGCTCCGGCCAGGCGCTGCACCAGGGGCCCCCCCCCGCCCGTGGTCTTGGCATCGCTCCGACGCGTGTATTTTTTGCTGCGAGGGCCATCTGGGAGCATCCTGGATCAGCGAACAAAAAACAAACGCGAACGAGAACGAACATGCACGGGGAATGGACGTCCGAGCGACGGCAGGTGGTGCGATGTGACCCGTGGACTCGGAGGCGCCGTTCGAGTAGGAGATCGACTGCATAATGGAGTTATTCCAAGGTCAATTTTCCTGTCGGGTCCACGAAGAATATCGGGCCGGACGAAAGGGGGGGATCGGGAAAGGGGGGGTTACAAAATTTGCTGCATGCAGCTGATTTCAGCCCCACCGAGGGGCCCATTCCTCGATACATAGTCGCCTCTGGCGCCGGGAGGCGCCGGGAACATCAGCTACGCAAGCTGATTCTCAAACCCCCTTCTGTGCTAACCCATCCTTTCGCCCGACCCGAGTATACGTTGAATTCAGAGCCTTGGTAAAGCACTTCTGTAGTCGATCCCCTGCTCGGGCCGAGCGGGCAGCCCTGCAGTCACAGCGCCGAGGTAGGCAGGTCCGGGCCCGGTTCGGAAGGGGGTTCGGTGGTTCCTTGGGTCCTGGCATCGCTCGGACGTGTGCATTTTTTCTCGGCGAGAACCATTGAGGACGATCTTGGACCATCGAGCAAAAAAGCACGCATGAAACCAAAACATGCATGGGAAATGGACGTCCGAGCGATGGCCAGCTGGGTCTGCTCGCGTTCCTTCGCAGTTTCGCCGAGGAGTCCCCTCGGCGTTCCAGGGAAGGGGAGGCGCAGCTTTCGAAGCGAGGGGCAACCCCGAGAGGGAACGCCTCCAAGAAGGGGCTCGGCCCTTCCTCAGACATGTATGACTCGATCTTGGAAGAGAGGGGTTTCGCTCCTTATTTAGGGTTCCTTCTGGCAGCACCATGCCTGTAGGCAGAAAGCAGACAATTGATTGCGCAGAATGTTCCGCACCGCGGGTACATCTTCCAAATCCGCTTGTCTTCAGAGATCTCGGATCATCTCTGCCCTGATTCGGTTTCTACCTGCCGTCGTCTTACGCAGTTCTCTCTCTCTCTCTCTCTTTATTTTCTTTCTCTCTCTCTCTCTCTCTCGCCCTTCCGAAGTTGCAATTCGCTCGTGATGTGGACCCTGGGGCCTCTCGACCCCTTTCCCGGGCACAGCTTTTCATCGAATCGTTTTCGACAGTCCTGAGGCACTGGAAGGGCCTCCAGACGCCAAAAATGGCAGAAAGAGAAAACGCCAGTCGTGATTTGCTCACGACGCGAGGAGGGGGGTTTGGCCTGGCCCTGTTCCCTGAGAGGACACGTCACAAAAGAAGAACACCAGTGCAACAAATCACGACCAGAGCCATCGACCCCAACTTCGGTATGCCCCTAGGTGGATCGATCTGCGGGGGCCGTGGGCCCCGAAATCAGGGAAGCAGGCTCAGAGTGAAACAAGTGCAACTCCAGGGTCTCGCGGGGCCCCATCCATCCTGGCCCCACTTGGGAGGCCTCCCGAGGCGCCGTCGGAGCCGCTCGCCTCTGAGCAGGCAAGAGGTGTCTTTGGTGGCCAGCGGGCGCCGGCCCCTTTGGAACGCCGTGCGTTCTCGTCTTGTCGCGTGCTGCAACATGGGGGGCTCCGTCCGCGACGTCAGCTGCCTCTTCCTCTTTCCCCTCCTCCTCCTCCTACTCCTCCCCCAGTCGCCACCATGGCTTGCAGGGCTGCGCGACACACCAGGCCATGCAACCATCATTGATTGGTTGTTTCTCCATGCGTACTCTGGGGACTTCGGCTAGCCGCTAGCCCGGACTACGACGCGCAACTTTCTGCTGTGCTAGACAAAGCTCGTCATACATGTACATATGCACTTACACGTTTACACATGTATTTGTTGTTATGTGTATAAGTATACATACACGCATACGAACATGCACATTTAGCAATACAGAAGTATGTAGGATCGCATCTACATACATGCATACGTGCACACACACACACACACCTGTGTATGTGGTTAGATATATTCATATGTATATGTATGTGTACTTACAACTGTGTGTACATAGGTATCAGTGAGTATGTGGTGATCGTGTCTTGGATGTTGCGCATCGGCTTCCGCGTTGTATGACATGGGATTGTCAGGCACCTGTTTGCGCGACATGGACGGCGCGAGGCACAGAGCCCAGCAGATTTCGGAGCGAGTGGCAAGTTATTCAGGCTGGCGTACGGGCGGCTTCCAAAACGTGCCGCAGGCTGCTCAGTCTTATTTCCAGAATGGGTGGACCTCCCAGCATACTCGAGCCGATGCTCCCCCAGTGGCCCTTCAAGGGCGGAGTTGGATACGACATCTTTCGAGGAGGGCTCCTATGCTACACCATGGTATGGTGCTCTACTTCCTGGCCGCACCTGCTAAACCGTGTCGGGTCGCAACTACCTCGCGTGATGTGAACAATTACAGTCTCAGTTTCGGAACAGGCTCCATCCAAGTATCTTGAGTGACGTGAATGATGGGTTTGGTAATCCCAAAATCCTGGGCCTGTGGCAAAAAGTGATACGTTTGCGGTGGGGCCGATGCAGGGTTGGAAAGCACATCACGGTTCCGAAAGATGTGCCATCAGTTGGGTCCATGTTCGCCCACGACTTGCAGATCGTGATCCCCAACGTTATTCGGTGTTAGCGGGGGGGCGCTACATGATAGACCATATCGCCGTCTCTTTTATTTTAGTGGAGTCACATGTGCGTCGCCGATCCACAGGCTGGGGCGCCGAGTCCAAGCTATCAGATGGCGTGGTCCTCGAGACAGTTCCCGTTTTTGTCCAGACGCAGGCCTCACATGTGGCCCTGGCGCAGCAGGTTCGCCCGCCCAACTCCCCAATGCTCTTCAGCATCTGTTCGCACAGTTGGATAGGGACTCATATGCGCGGCCTTTGCGGGGGCCCTGAGCGAGAGCATTTTTTGTTGCCCGCTAGGTGGAGTCACGATTGGAAGTGGATTGGGCGAACATCGACCATGCGACCCCGCATCCCGATCAAGTTAATTCAAACGATGTAAGCAGCCGGCCCGTGCTGGAAAGCAGCACGAGCAGGAATGTTTGGTTCGAACAGATTTTTGCGGCTTGGCGGCCCAGGGGTTTGCCTTTGCGCACTGGCCATCGTGGCGACTGGGCGGGCATTGGCACAGCAACGGTCGTCGAGATTTCACGCGATTAGATGGCATGATGTTGACGCATGAGGATTGGCTTGGGCTTCTGTAGCGACCAGGAGGTGAATGGGCATCACGATGTGGGATGAGCTCCGGGCTTGATGGGAGATCTGCATCAGGCCCCCCTGCCACCCGGGGCTCGAAAAGAGCGATCTCCGAAGCCCCAAACTGACACGCGCCACGGTCTGCATGGAAAACATCTGCTTCCATCTGGCGATGACTTCTCCCAAGAAGCGCAGCGTCCCGCCCCGAAGAGCGATCGACCTGCCGAACCGCGCACTGGAGCTGGTGGAGATGCGATCATCGCGGAGGGCGCCTTCGCCCAGAAGTGGATGCGCAAAGTTGTCATGGTGGTTCGTTTTTGGACAACGCATGGTGGCCTTGGAGATGCAGCCCAGCAGGGGGAAGAGCCGTCCGCGGCTTGGACCCCGTGAGCAAAGGTTTCCACCATGAAGACGCGCGGCCAGGCCTGAGCTCCTCCTCCTCTTCCTCCTCCTCCTCGTCTCTTTCCTCCTCCTTCTCCTCGCCCAGCAGGCATCCTCGGCTTCGGCGGAGGTCTTCACACCCATGCCAACCCTGCATGAGCCCCATGAACCAGCAGTGACCTGGACTCGGCCTCAACACGCCTGAACCAGTACCGTTTCACCTGTGCATCCTCCTCCTCCGCGCGCGCCCGCTGCATGATGCACCGCCGTTAGGAGCCTGAAGTGGGCTGCTGAGCTACAAGACGACGATGAACGACGACGACCGACGACGACGACGACGACCGACGACGACGAAGACGACGACCGACGACGACGACGACGACGACGACGACGACGGCGACGGCGACGGCGACGGCGACGGCGACGGCGAAGGCAACGGCGACGGCGACGCCGACGTCGGACGACGGACGACGGACGACGGACGTCGGACGACGGACGACGCACGACGCACGACGCACGACGCAGGACGGACGACGGACTACGGACGACGGCAACATTTGGAGATGGCAGGTTTTTGCTGTGTCGACGGGACAGCTATGCCAGCGCGGGCGTCCGAGGTAGAGCGTCCCCAGTGGCCTCGAGTCGACCGACATGGAAGGACTCGTCGGACGGGGCTGGGACGAGGATAAATCCGTTCCAGAGCGTTGAGGAGGCCGCGGCGCCCGAGACATCCTCCAGAGCCGCGGGATCTCAGAGGTTCTCAATCTTTCCCACCCAATGTCATCCTCGTCTTGGCTTCGGCTTAGCCGTGGGCCAGTTGCAGGTTGAACGTTCCACGCAGTGTCGGAGACAAACGCGCAAGTCGCTCTGACACGAACTTGCGGTACCCAGCGCGCCCCATGGCGTCAAACAAGACCTTCAGAACATGAAGTCCGTGATGTTCCATCAGAACAGGAGCTCCGTCGAAGAATAGAGAATGGCGCCAAGATCTACACTGCCCGATGCTCAGCAGCTCTTCTTCCCGTGATGCAGATTATCAATTGGAGCTCTTTCGCATGTCTAAAGTTGATATCCGGCGGGGTGTTTTGCTGATTGGTTTGGCGCCCAGTTAAGTTTTCAATTGCAATTGTAGCAGTGCCTTGTTTGCATGACCTCCGTCTAGTCTCCATATACTCGTCCGAATCAGAGTTCTCCATGCAATTGCATTGTTGTGAGAATACACGGGTGAATGGTAAAAGAGCGGTGAAGAATGAACACGTAGACCAAGCCATGACATAGAAAACAATACGAATGAAATAACGAAGAAGAGAAGGTAGTGAGGAAAATGAGCGGCGGAGAAAAGTATCGGGAGCAAGAGAGGTGAACAGGTGGCCAGGGGTGCACTTACGAGTGCGGGGTCGGGGAGGAGAAGGAGGAGGAGATCAATGACGACGAGAGGAAGAAGGTACGGCCAAGGGCAGGGCGGGAGGCGGGGCAAGGTGTTGTTGTGCCGGGTCACTGGTGGCTTGGTCAAGTACACGGACGAGGCCGAGCCGGACGCGGAGAAATTGCAAGACGAGGCCTCCAGGGGGAGGCGGACTATCACCACAGGCGTGGAGACCGCACGAGTCCCACACCGCCTCCACGGCCTCCGGAGTACGCGGTGAGGGCCCTGGCTTTTGACAACGTTGGCTTGTCAGATCGTGACCATCAGACTTATCGACCCCGTCCCAGGGCCAAATGTTTCGCCCAAGGTAGTTTCCACGGTCACGGGGCCTGCACTTCTCTCGCCAGTGGAGGCTGAAAGTGAGGAAACAGTCTCGAATCGAAACGTACACGACGTCGGAGGTCCGGGGAGGATCGGGAGGAGGACCAGCGTGAGCCCAGGATTCATCAGCGACGCTGCACGCAATGAGTGCACCCTCTCGCCGAAAATCCCTCGTCAGTCCTTGCAGGCATGTTTTTGTTCCCCCGACGGGAAGCGCCCTCTTGAAGACCGAGCGCCCCGTGCTCCTGCCATGCAGGCAACGGACAGGCAGTGCCGGGAGGCAGGGTCACATGCGTCTGATGGAGGTGCGCATCGAGAGCACGGCTTTGAAAATGAGGCGTCCCCATGCGCGGAACTGGTTCACAGAGGTACAGTCGGGGCGCTGAAGAAGGAACCCTTTTCATTGGGGAGGGGCTCGGTGTTCCTGGATTGTTTCAAAGTTTGCCTCGGGTTTTCCTGAGGTTTCCATGGGAAATCGAGGTTGAACTTATGGGAAAAGGGGGCCTCGTTCCTTATTTAGGGTTCCTTAGGTCACCGCCTCGACTGTAGTTAGTTCCGCGAGGGAGGATCCGTCGCCTCCTTATCGATCCTCCGTCATTGAGCCACATGTTCGTAGGTATAGCCTGGGACATTAGGGCGATATCAATCGAGAGCCTGATTCCTTCAACACCATCTGACATCCATCCGCGTGCCTGTTTGAAACTTCATAACTACTCTACGCGGCGCTGAAAGCGAGGGGTACAGTCCGATGATGACTTACCCTCCATACCCTCTAACTGGTGGGACCTTGTGAAGCAAGTGCGCGCGGCGTCAGAGCGAGGGCCACATGTTGACAGGCACTCGCCCTCCATGCGTGGAGCCGTTGCAAGTTTGACCGCAACCAGCGAAGGAGTCTGAGGCGAAACTCCCAACCCGCCCTACCAATCCATCTGGTGGTGTGACGGGTAGGAGTTCTGAAACAAGGAAAAGGGATGGAGCAGCAGGCCGAGGAGACTAGGGGGGGCGCCCCCCGATTGGGCGGTGTGCTCCCAAAGCCTTGTCGGTCGGCCGCGCTGCGGAGCAAGCCCCCGACATGGGGCCCTGACCAGAGACGAGGAGGTCGCGGGATGCCAGAAGTTTCCCAGACATCCAAAGATTTGAAAAGATCGAAACGGATTTTCTGTTGTAACTTCTACCCCCCAGATGCTGTTGTGGATTTCCGGGACTGTGGAGCACAGCTCCCAGGAAGTGGTTTGGCTTCCTGGGGCGGGGAGGACGAGGGGCAGGTGGGGACGAGGACGAGGAGGGGGTGGACGACAAGGACGACGAGAGCGATGAGAAGGACCAGGAGGAGGAGGAGGAGGAGGAGGCGAGGGAGGACGAGGACGAGGAGATGGTGGACGAGGAGAACGACGAGAGCGAGAAGGAGGAGGAGGAGGAGGAGGAGGAGGAGGAGGGGCGAGGAGCACCAGGAGGAGGAGCACCGGGAGGTCCGACGGCACCGCGCTGAAGAGTCCCAGACGTCGGAGGTCTGGGCTCGTGGCTCGGGCCGCACGAGAGGGGGGGGATTGGGAAAGGGGGGGTTACGCAATTTGCTGCATGCAGCTGGTTTCGGCCCCACCGAGGGGCCCATTCCTCGATACACAGCCGCCTCCGGCGACAGGAAGATCGGCTGCGTGAGCCGATTCTCAGACCCCCCCTTTGCCATCCCCCCCCCCTTCGCCCGGCCCGAATGGCCCCGGGCGCCCCCCGTCGTCCGCTCCACCTCGGAACCCACAGGGGTGTTCCGGAGGCGCGGGCTCGAGCTGAACGGTGGAGCTGCAGTGCCCCCCTCCTCCTCCTCCCTCCTCCTGCTCCTCCCTCCTCCTCCTCCTCCTCCCTCCTCCTCCTCCTCCTCCTCCTCCTCCTCCTCCTCCTCCTCCTCCTCCTCTGCGCCCCCGCCGACGCCGCCGTGGTGCCCAGCGTGCTCTGCGCGCGCGCGCCCATCGCTGCGCGCCGCGCGCGCCGGCCCGCCGAGAGAACCGGGCGATTTCGTGGACCGTTCTCGTTCTGATCTCCTTTTTGCACCACGAGGAGGCACGAATCAGGAGGGGAAGGATTAAGGAGGAGGAGGATTAAGGAGGAGGGAGGATTCCTCCTCCTTAATCTTTCTCCCCCTTTTTTCCCCTTTTTCCTCCTCCTCCCTCCTCCTCCCCCTCCTCCTTAATCCCCCTCCTCCGTAATCCTACCCCTCCTTAGCGAAGACAGCACGAGGGAGAGCGAGAACAGAACGAAAACGAGCAGCACCGTTTAGCTCGAGCCCTGCTGGAGGCTGCTGGGGATTCCTGGAAGTGCTGGGGCTGCCCTGGGACAGGGTCACCTCTAGCAGCCCTCGAGAAGGGGAGGCCTCCTTCCAGCGCCCTGTGCTCTTCTGGCACGCCATCCGCGTCAGTGGGGGGGGGGGGCTGGTCGAGACTCGCGAGGTCGAGGGGGCGGTAATTTCCAGGGCCTCCCGGGATTCTGACCAATAGACGTCCCCAGAGGCCTCCAGAGAATTCCAGAGGCCCCCAAACCAGATCTCCCCAAAGTCCAAGATCCTCGATCCTCATCCCCTGGTCGCCTTGTGCGAGTCTTGGCAGGTCGAAGGGGGTGCGGGCAGGGAGCAGGCGCAGACCATCCATTTGCACTGACGCGAACGTGTATTCCCCCCCTCTGGGGTCCTCAGAGACCCCAGATGCCGAACAGATGAGCAAGAATACCTGGAAGCGCTTCGATCCTTGATGATGCCTCCACGTTCCTCTTCCTCGTCCTCTTCCCCGCCCCCCTCGCACAATCCCAACGACGGCGGCGGCACAGACTTGCCGAAGGGGGTGCCGCGACTGTGGCGCAGCGCCTAGGTGCCACAATTGGATGCGGGGCGGTCGTGTGGGTCGAGGATCGAAGGATCGAAGGAGCTTCGAGGAGCTCACTCTTCGAGGATCGAAGGATCGAAGGGCATCGCTCTTCGAGGATCGAAGGAGCTGACATCTCTTGCTCGGCGAGAGGTCGGCGGAAGAGTTGGCGGAGTGCAGAAGTGTGGCGGGACCGCCGGCGGAAGCCGGCAGAAGGTGGGCCTGCCGAGAGATGGCACGGTTGTTTGGTGACGAGCGGATGTTCCACCACCACCACCACCACCACAGGTAGGAGAGGGAAGAGGAGGAGGAGCAGGAGGGCAAGGAGGAGGAGGAGGAGGACCTCCCCATCCTCTCTTCTCCCCCGTCTTCCCGATGGTAGCGGTGGTGGGAAATCCACCCATCATTTGTTTCAAGGTTTCTTGAGTTGGCCACTTCGAGCCGCGTGCTCTGGGGCGCCGCCAGGTGCTGCACGGTGTCTACGACTCCGTGCTGGGAGACCGCGAGGCTTGCAGGCACGGCGGCTGGCCGGGCCCTCCTCCCTACCAGGGCCTGCGGCGCCGTGATTGCCCAGGCAGTTTCTGCACCTCTAGGGGCTCTGCAGTTTGCGTCTCCTCAGATGCTGGACGGGTGAGCCGAGGGTTCGCCGCATTGCCGCCCGTGGGCGCCTCGAGGTCGCTTCGTGTGCTGGATCTGTTTGCCGAGGTCTCGCCGCGCTGCTGCCCATGGGCGCCTCGAAGGCGCTGCGTGTGCTGGACATGTTTTCCGAGGGTTCGCCGCGTTGCCGCCCGTGTGCACCCCGTGGGCGCTTCGTGTGGTGGAGAAACGTGCTGCCTGTGTCCGGTCGGGGGCGCCTCGTGAGAGCATGCCATCCGATGTGCACATGTTACACCACATAGGCACTTCGTAGTTTTAGTGAGATTGCCCCACATAGCTTTCACCACATCGGTTGCAGCAGTTAGCTTTCATCGCGTAGCGTGCACCACAAAGCTTTCAACACCTAGCTTACACCGCAGAACCTACTGCACAGAGCTTACTTCGCGTAGCGTGCACCACATAGTTTGCAACCCATTGCATGCAACATATAGATCATATTTACATCGCTTATACCGCATCGATCGATCCACGTACATTGCACCACATCGTTTCCACAATGAATGTTGGACCACCTAGGTTGCACCAGATAGATTGCACCTTACATGTTTGCACCACGTGGATTGCACCACATGGGTTGCGCCAAGGTAAAGGGTGCACCACATACAGGGGTCATTCCGACTCCGCGGTCTCGATTCGATTCGATGTCACTGGCTGCCAATTCGAACCGATATTTTGC